ATGTGTACCCCAGAGGTTATTTGCTAAAGCTAATATAAAGAATAAATTCTTACGAGAGAAAAGCGTTCACCCATACTTAATTGGGATGAAGCTCGGGTATAGAGCTTATGTCATGGAAATGCACGTGAGGTGTATGAGGAGGAACACACAAACCTTCGACCAAATAAAACAACAAAAATAAAAGAAAAACTTTCGAGATAAATTTTGGTGAAGCTGAAAATATGAATTTAAACATTAGTACAACTATTTACATAAAGAATGTATAATAAAAAAATTCAACGAAATAATCTAAGCTAACTATGGAATCAAAATCGTAATTTCCACCACTATGATAATGTATAAGGGACTAATAGCCTGACTCTCTAAAGTATCCCCAGCAGAGTCGACAAGCTGTCGTAACATCTTTTTTATGAACAAATATGTTTTTGATGAAAACCTCGAATTTACAACTTATTTGGAAAATTTGAATATTTGTATTTATTTTGATTAAATTGATTTCGAGTCGCCATTGACCTTTGAGTTAGGCAGGTCGAACACCTAAAAACATCATTTAAACAATTTTAAGAAAAACCATTTTTAAGACAAAAAATTGATATGTACTTGTCAAAGTTTCCTTTTAGGTTCGAGAGTCGATTATGCGTGGGGAAGGTTTAGCACCCCCACAATGCCCAAAAATTGGTCCCTAATCGCTTGTATGTTGTCGTGGTTGTGGACATCATAAATTTGAATAAGTACTTAAAGTGTGATCCTTTTATTAAACATTGAATAATTTGTTTCGAATTAATTACTGGAGAACATTCCTTAATTTGAGAATAAATCACAGGATTTGCACATCCTCCAATGGGAATGCTATCCCATATATTTATCATTTATACGAGAAATGTCCCCTCCTCAACATTGTCAAAAAGCACAAATCACATATAAATTAAATATCAATAATTTCATGAAATAACATAACATACCATTTTAAACATGCATTGACATTATTTAAATTGAAAATAAAAATAAAAAGTAAAAAATGGAATAATTATTATTTTTTTATAAAATAAACTTAACTTTTTCAAGTTCACTTTTTTGTTCGAATGTTGTCTCAAATCACATTACTTCAATCGAGTAGTGCTCTTCACACCCGTTCTACTATAAGTGTTATAAAAAATACTAGTTAAAATACTTAAAATATTATCAAAGAAATTTAATAAAAGTTAAAATATGTATATATATATATATATATATATATATATATATATATATCATGCACGTAGTTCAAGATAAAATATAGAAAGTAAATAAATCTTAATATATGTGTAGGTGTACTTCCATGTGCACAATATATTAATAACATAAAAAATGAGAATAAGCATATGGATTGCAAATGGGAAAATGAAACATGCAGATCCTAAAACAAACGAAACAATAAGTTCTAAAAGGCAAGTGCATATATTATTAATAAATCGAATAGATTGTGAAATTACTCGATCAAAATAAATAGAGATAATTTGGTCTAATAAGTAAACAATCATAAAGGATGAAAATATAATGAAAATAAATAAAAGGCTCAAAATAATATGAAATTAATCCAAAACAGAATCAAAATGCATTCATTCAAAACTAGAATGGCTTCATACACAAATGACCCATGCATTAACACCTGTGCACATACAAAACACCAAAATAATTTTAAAGTGCTCATTTCTTCATCTTAGTTAAGAAAACAGAGAGGAAGAAAGCTACATCATTTCACCGAGGAAGGGAGGACAATCTTCCGCCACCGGTCTCCGGTGGCCATTCGACGCCAAACTCAAAGGGGAGGTTCGTCTTAACGTCAGTAACTCAGATTTGGTCTCGGTTTTGCGAGATGTGGCCTTCAACTCCACAAAAAATGTCAAAACCTTTCAAGTTTCCACTGTTCCATTCTATTATTCCATCGTTGGATCGTTTCTGTTTCGAGGTATGTTGTTCTCCTCGGTCTACTCCTTTAATTGACCGTTCGGATCTATCGTCCGGCCAGCAGAACTGTCGTTGTCAAAAACCCAAAGGAAAGGTCTTCATTTCTTTTTTTTGGTTTGGTTCTCCTCCCTCCCCGATCTCTTTCTTTGCAGGTGTTATATGGAGGATGGCATGAAGATTAATGGTGGCGTTTTTAGTGAATTCCAGATGACAGTATGGGCATGGGAAACAGCTACTGATAACAGGGCATGGTGTGTAGGTTGTTGTTGAGTTGGTGTGCAAGGCATGTTGTTATTATGAAGTTGGTGGTGGCAACATAAAAATGGTGACGGGATGGCTAGTGCAAGCATGGGGTGCAGCTACAAAGTTAGAGATGGAGGCATGGGGCAACAGTAGAGGTGGCAAGACAAAAAAAGGTGATTATAGGTTTTAAGGGCCTTGCACCCTACCTAAGGATATATTCGGGTTGTATATATTCTTTTGACCCTTGAACTAAAGAAACTCGGGTGTCCGAATCTTTTCTCGAGCATCCAACAAGGCTAGTGATATTTGTCCATATTTCATATTGTTTCTACATTTGATTAACTATTAATATTGTTCCACTTGTACTCTTATTTAAGAGAAATTATAAGCTTTTGGGAAACCTTACTTACCTCTATACTTTCTCTTGCCTTAAAGCCCATTTCTGAACCTTGGTATCAATATTGGCCTTAGAATATCGATACACTCTCTTGCCTCTACACTTGTGCTTTAAAGCTCAAACCATACCCTTAGTATAGATATCAACCTTACAGTATTGATACCCACTCTATAGTATTAATACCCACTCTACATTATCGATAACCTACCTAAGGTATCAATACCCCTATAGTTATTTAATCAATTACAACCTAACTTAAAACACCTTCTATAACACTTATTCTAGTGTTTTACGCATTTTCGATCCCCTTTCTGGTCATACTATGGATCTAAGGCCTCTTGAACAACCTTTTATATAATTTTTGACATTTTAGGCAGGGGTTTTGAAACCTCTGAGGGGGGTTTCGAAACCTCTCTGGCAGAATATTATTATGAATAAGGGGTTTTGAAACCAGCCCTAGAGTTTCGAAACCTATACTGCATATCACTTTTTTACCCGAGAAAACTCTCTAAAACACTCTCAAAACATTCCCAAAGTCCTCAATTTCCTACCTTGAGGTTTCCCATTAATTATTAAGTCTTATTTGATCATAAAGGAGCATAAATAAGGCTTTAATACATGCTAATAACATCAATTATACAATCTACCATGGAAACTTGCTAAACATGCTTAAATCTTAACTTTCTAGCTAAAACTCATTTCAAATGGTCTACAATTGATATGATGAAGCTATAAGTGTGTTACTTGGATTCTTTGGATGTTATAACCTCTCTCAAACAACTAGGAATCCACCTTTCTTTTACCATTGGGCTTTTGAACTCTCTTCAACATTTTTCACTAACAAGGTATAAATGAGTTATTTACTCAACTAGATACTAGATAAAACTTAAATACACTCCCTATAACTCAAATCCTTTCCTAAAATAGCTTCAATCACTTGATTCGTTAAAACTCATTTTTCATAAATCTTAACCAAAAATCTAAGTTTTAGGGTTTAAAAGAAAGCTTGAAGGACGATGATGAGGGTTCTTACCTTGGTTTCTTCAAACTAATTTTAGGATTCAAGAAACTTCTGTCTTTTTGTTTTCTCTTGAGAAGGAATAAGAAAGGAGAAGAGCAAAAGAAAGATGGGAGATTTTTTTTTGAAGGTTCCAGTGAAATCTAGCTAAATAAGAGGGTTTATAACCTTTAAAACCAATTATGGGTAAACTACATTTTTTTATCCCACTATTTTTTACTTCTACATAAAACCATCACTTACCCTTAACTCTTGGGTCTTACTTAAGCCCAATACCTATATAACTTGGTGCAACTATCTTGGGAAGTCTAATTAGGTTGACTTAAAGGTCTCGAGTTTATCCAAACTACTAATCCGTATTTCGAGGTATTACATTTAACATTAAACTATAAAAATTTAAAAGTTTAGGTACTAAAACGAATAAAAAAATTAAATGACTACATGCAAATTGTTAAACCACTAAATATATAATTTATCTTAAAATATATAATTTCATCCATTTTAATTTTACACTCTTATAAAAAACACCTTATAGGTGTATCACATTAATCACCCTTCCACTCGCTGATTTTCCCAAGCAGAAAAATACAAAGCAGATTAGACATAAAAACCTAAGGGGGTGTTTGGATTGGGGAATGTGGGATTCCCATGGGAATGGAATCCACATTCCCCCGTTTGGTTAGCCTGAGAATCCTATTCCCGGTAATGTAAGATTACCAATAGTGGATTTTTTGGGGTATATTACCGGGAATGTCATTACCTCCCTTTCCTTAGGTATTGTTGGATTACCGGCGTTTTGGACTAAAATGCCCTTAAATTTTTATTTTTTTCAAAAATATATTTATTCTGTCATCGAATAATAAAAATTTTACGAATGTTAAATTACAAATTTATCCTTAAATTATTTTAGATTTACAAAAAAAAATCTATAATTAAAATTTTATATAAAGTTCAAGGTTTAAATAAAATTTTACCCTTTCATTAAACTTTTTTTTATTTTTAATTTTGTAAAAAATATATAAATATTATGAATTTAATTTTTTTAAAGAAAATATATAAATATTTTCCAACTTGTAATATTACACAAATATATAATTAGAACAATTTGGTCAAATATACATTCCAATAATCTTTTATTCCTTTAACCAAACACGGTAATCTTACATTCCTGCTAAGCCAACCAAACACAAAATACAACATTCCCAGTAATGCTATTCCTTGATAATCTTACATTCTCACTGGTAATCTTATATTCCGTGAACCAAACGCACCCTAAATGTAAACTCGTGAGTGCCGTTTCGAGGGCATTTTGTCTGTCTTCCACGATACGCCTCAGCTCTGTTCTCTATAACTGAAGCGCTAATAATTCTATAATTTCCCCTTCCCAATATAGCCGTTACCGGTCACCACCCCATCTTTTTCCATTCTCTCCATAAAAAAGCCTCCCCCTTTGCCCTCCCTGAGCAGAAACAACTCCCTAAAGTCCCAAACTTTAACACTTACCCATAAACCATCAGACTATTATGCGCCGCGCACTATTCCCCTCCTCTCTCCTTCTCCACAACCCGCCCTAAACACCACCGCCGTCGCCGGCAACCAGCACCCAATGCTGGTTTCTATTTTGTTAGCCCTTTTTCTGCCGTGTGTCGGCATGAACGCGGTTTTCATTGTTTATATCTGTCTATTATGGTACGCCACGAATTATCGGGTTGATAATTCAGGGTCGTCGTCGGTTAAGCAGGTGGGTGAGAAAGGGTGGCCTGTTTCGGAGCTCGAGAAGCTGCCCAAGGTTACCGGGAAGGACCTTGTGTTGGGGACCGAATGTGCGGTTTGTCTCGATGAGATCTTGGCGGATCAGTTGGCCAGAATGGTTCCCGGTTGTCGTCACGACTTTCATTTGCAATGTGTTGATGCTTGGCTCTCGAAGCACTCGGTTTGTCCTCTTTGTAGGGCCAAGCTTGAGCCTGAGTTGTTCGATCCTAGTGATGGTAATCCCTGCTAAACCTTGTTTGAGTATAAAGTTCAGTGTTTTGGGTGTTTACATAAAGGGTTTTCCTAGAAAGAGATCAAGAAAAATGTTAGTGTTTCACTTTCATCTATGTATGGGTTATCGTTGCTCTTCTGATTTATCGATATTTCATTAGTTGAATCAATTCTCATTGATACTAATGTAGACAAGTAAAAGCCCGTCCTTGAAGAAATTGCTTTCTTTTTGTTGTGAAAGTAGAAAAAAAAAGGTCTTGATTCAAGGGGGTAAAGCAAGAACATTTTGATAGAGTAATTGGAAAAAGGTAGAACTGGCATTAGTACCTTGCGGTGTACGCCATGTACCTTCTCAGCAACAACTTTATTATTACTTAATTAAAAAGATTAAACGAAAACTACCATTAAAAACTTACCAGGAAAGTGCAGCATTTGGCAGTGTGCACAGGCCAGAGTGCATCAATCTGGGCGTGCCACGTAAGGGAACAAATGGCTTTAGAATATATCTCCTTAGAATTAATTTCCCGAAATGGGTCCCAACTCCAGCAGTATATTGTGCATGAAGAGTGACTGTGAATGGTGGCAGATTGGCGAGACTCGAACATATGCAATGGCATCTCGCCGACTGCTAACAACTAGCCCTTTTAACCCACAGTTTTAGGGTTTCGTGTTTCCTATTTTTCTCTAAATCAAATGAATAAATGCAGCAACCTAACTTGAACAATGATAATGTAAATTATGTTAGGCAAGTTAAGTTGTCACTTGACCTGACCACTACGGCTCTACCTTTTCTCTCTTTAGCAATAAGTTTTGTAAGATCGTTGGAAGTTTGTATTTTTGGCATATATATAATATTGGGAATTCCTGATGTACAATAGACTATGGAATGACAAGAAATTAACGTAATAAAAAATATAATAAAAATCATAATATTTTAGGTTAAATTAAAAATGTTAGTAAAAAATAACATTTTTTTGTTATATTCAACCGAAAAATATTATAACTTTTATCATAATTTTGTTTTATTTATTTCTTAGGGGTTGTTTCTTACGCTTTTCTATCTAGTATTATTAAATTTAAAGAGGATTTAGTGACCATCTAACAAACAGGTGTAATATAAGCATAGGAAAGTGATGGCACTACTTAATTAACTTGTTAAATATTATAATAAAATAATATATTACATGCTTTAATCATGAGTTTTGCACATAAATCTTTCAATAACTGTGTGTGTTTTGTTTGATATGATGTGGACCAGAAAGAAGGGGTCACGCCATACTTCTTGAAACTTGTGGATTGTTTGGATTGGGTATAGGTATACAAGTAGAGATGCAAATTTATTGACGTGTTTAGTTTACTTGTCATTATCTTTTTGGAATGGGTATGGATGTAAATGATTGATTCCAATTATTTATTCATATGATGGATTAGGATTTTCAATGTTTTAAAAATTAATAATTTAAAATTTATAGAAAGATATTAATGATAAAAGAAAATATTTTTTTAAAAGTATAATTATATTTATAGTTTGAATGTATTATTTATTTATAATATTTTTAGTTATTAATAAGACATATTTACTGCAAATGTTGTTTTCCGAATCCGGATTCTTTAAAAAGAATAAGATTTTTTTTTATGACAGAATAATAAAAAGAGAAAGCTAACTCGAAACTAAATCCATACGCCAAGCTTGCAGACCCACTTGCAACATTTGATGAAGCTCACTAGGCTGATTGTTCCACTCGGACAAACCCATTGACTGATCCCTTACGAAAAAGGGCATCGGCTATGCAGTAGGCCTCCCAACTGATTAGAGAAAAATTGACCGTCCAACATCTTTGAAGATCTCTAATCCTTATAATGATAGTTGATTCATGGCATTGATTGTGAGTCGTGAAGAGTTAGACAGCTTCAGCATTATCCATCTCAACCAGGATGCTCCTCACGCCATATCTCCAAGGAAGTCGAAGACCATTGAGGAGAGCCGAAAACTCAGCGTGGAGAACGAGTAGCGCCCGATATTGCGGCTATAACCATCGATCCAAGCACCATTGTTACTCCGGATTACACCACCTCCCGCTGCCATTTTCGAGTTTGGATTCACCGTACCATCCGTATTTAGCTTAACCCTGGGTTTTAAAAAATGGTCCGCGACCGCGATTTCGGCCGTGATATAGGGGTTTCACCGCCGTCAGAGTTACCCGTGACGGCCGCAATAACGTCCGCGATGGCCGCAATAGTGCCCGCAACAGCCGCAATCACGGTAAATCTAAAATAACCGAAAACGCGACCGCGACCATGATTTGAAACCCTAACCATTCCAGCACGAAGAGGACCTCCAGCGATACTCCAGAGCTTCGGGGTTAGAGGTCGAGTCCAAGCTTATGGCGCTTGGATAATATCCTTTGAGGACCAGTTAACACCGGTGAAGCTGAAGTTGTGACGCCGGCCAGAATAACGATTATCCTGCAGGCTCGTTCTAACGGATGAATCACAGGAGAAAATTCGCCCAAAAAAACCATAGAAAAAGTCTCTAGGGTTTATTAGAATATTATCAAATCAAAAACCATCCAAAAATCAGTCCACAAGCCGGACTGTTATAGCCAAAAATATTCTTTATTCGTATTTTGCCAAAAATAGCAAAATCCCGAAAATCACTCTAAATTAAAATTCGAAATAAAATAAACAAACTGCAAAAAATCGGGCCTAAATCGAATTTAGATTGACTTCCTAGCTGATAAGCGAAATATTACCATAAATAGTAAAAAATAAATAAAACTAGTGATTCGGAGGGGAAAATGGTAGAATTTGAGGTCGAAATAAAGGCCACAACGTGCGCATTGAAAGGGGATTTTTGAATTGGGGTCTTATGCGCGATTTCGACACCTGTAGCCAAAGTTATGGCCAAAAGACTGAAACACACTCAAAACGGCCCCAATAAGGAACATATCACAATCAACTCCCGCCTTTGCGCTGATCTGCCAACTCATGGTATCTCAGCGCCATCAAGGTGCAATCTGACAGCTCAGCATCATCTGTCTCAGATCCCACTGCATCAGTCACCCCGGGTTGGAAAGAACTCGTCCTCGAGTTCAGAGTAGTGTCATCAGAATCCACAAAATAATGACTCAGGTGCTTCACATTAAAGACATCAGAAGTCTTCAAGTGACTGGGAAGGCGCAACCTGTAAGCATTATCATTGATCTTCTGCACGACCTCACAAGGTCCAATCTTTAGATCCTTAAGCTTATTATACTCACCAACAGGAAAACGATCATGAGTTAGTACAGCCCAAACAAAATCACCAACATAAAAAAGTACCTGGCGACGATGATTGTCAACCCGAGTCTTGTACTTGGTATTGCTCTCCTGAATGGTCTGTTTCACCTGCTCATGGATACCCCGAAGATACTTTGCCATCTCATATGCTTTAGGACTGAAACGTCCTATACGTGAAATAGGGGCTAAGTCCAGCACTCCGGATGGGTTCTGACCATAGACAATCTCAAATGGGGTTAAACCTGTGGTTCTGTTTTTTGATATGTTGTAGGCAAATTCTGCCTGAGGCAATGCCAAATCTCACTGCTTCGGCTTCGTTCCTGCCAAACACCTCAAAAGGTTTCCCAAGCTTCGGTTCACCACCTTGGTCTGACCATCCGTTTGGGGGTGGTAGGCGCTAATGAAATTCAATTGTGTTCCCAATTTCCCCCACAGGCTCTTCCGAAAATGACTGATGAACTTAGTATCACGATCTGAAGTGATGGATCGAGAAACACCATGTAAACGCACAATCTCCTTAAAATAAAGATGGGCAATCCGGTCAGCATCCATAGTCTTTCTGCAAGCTACAAAATGGGCCATCTTGGAAAACCTGTCAACCACAACAAAGATAGAATCCGAGGCCCTTTGGGTGCGGGGTAAGCCTAATACAAAATCCATGCTGACATCGAACCAAGGAGCTTCAGGAACAGGTAAGGGAGTGTACAAGCCCGTATTGGTGAGAACTCCCTTAGACCGCTGGCACACATAACAACGGTCCACATAATGGGCCATATCACTAGTCAACTTGGGCCAATAAAAGTCAGAAGAGATAAGGGCCAAGGTCTTATCTCGGCCAAAGTGTCCCTCATTATGAAGTTCACTTATAATATGATGCCTCAATGAACAATCTGGAATGCACAACTGTAATCCACGAAACAAATACCCATTATGCAAAACAAAATCATGACGGTGCCCCTCAGTTACCTCCTGAAATATCCTTCCAAAGGAAGGATCAGCTGTATACATATCTGTGAATGTCTCAAAGCCTGCAACTTTGGTACTCATGGTGGTGAGAAGTAAGGTACGACGGCTCAGGGCATCTGCGACGCGGTTCAAACTCCCTGCTTGGTGCCTTAGCATAAAAGTGAATTCTTGCAGGTATGCCACCCACTTGGCATGGCGTCTACTCAGCTTGTGTTGGCCATTGATGTACTTCAAGGCCTCATGATCAGTAAACAAAATAAACTCCTTCTGTACTAGGTAGTGACGCCAATACTTCAGGGACTGAACTATGGCATAGAACTCCAAGTCATAAGTGGAATAATTTTTCTTTGATCCCGATAGCTTCTCACTGAAAAAAGCAACTGGACGACCTGCCTGACTCAGAACACCACCAATGCCAACGCCAGATGCATCATAATTTACCTTGAACACTTTATCAAAATCAGGAAGTGCCAAAACTGGTGCTTCGGTCATCTTCTTCTTGACCAGTTGAAAACTGGCCTCCGCCTCCTCAGACCACTGGAAATCACGTCCCTTGAGGCACTCTGCGATAGGGGCAATCAGAGTACTAAAATTTCTAATGAACCGGCGGTAGAAAGATGCAAATCCATGGAAACTTCGGATGTCATGTAAGGTCTTTGGTCTGGGCCACTCCAAGACTGCATCTATCTTTGACTGATCTCCATGAACACCATCAGTAGACACAACAAAACCAAGAAAAGTCACAGAAGTAGTGAAGAAAGAACACTTCTTCTGATTGACGAACAACCACTCCTTTTTCAGCATCTCAAAAATATCACGGAGGTGATCGAAGTGTGAAGCCCATGTCGGACTATAAATGAGGATATCATCGAAGTAAACTACAACGAATTTCCCCATAAAAGGTCGTAAGATCTGATGCATAAATCTCATGAACGTACTGGGCAC